AATAAAAATCATCATAAAAATTTTTGCGCTCACAAGATTCATGAACAAAATAGTATAAGACCTAAAACTTTAGAGTTAAAAGGAAACAAATTACATTCTTGAATGCTCTAACTCATAGGAGTGATATAAGAGAAGAACTCTGGACGCTCTTAGTTGGAACAGTTCTTTAATATTGAATCTCCATTAACCCAACGTTTCCAAGTGGATGGGTAATTATAACTTACAAGGTCAATTTTTTACGCAGCCTTCCACCTCGGTTTATTAAGTTGACCAAGAAAACTATCTGGTACCTTAATTATTGTCTTTACGTGTCCCTAGTGCTGGAATTTTCAGTTGGTAACCAAAAGTCAGACGTGAACCATACTTATATCTAACCTATGTTTTATATTTTATGTTCCTTTCTACATTTCGTTCACAAATTAATGACAAATCACTATTTCTTTTCAGTATCAAACTTGTGGCCATCATCAAAGGTCACTCATCAGATTTAGATATTAAGTGTGTATATATATAATTAATCTTTTTTTAAAAAGATTTACTGATCATATTTAAAACATTAATAAGTATGATATTACTCAAACTATTGACTTATTATTTCATTTTATTCTTAATATATATATTAATCACTCTGCTTATATATACCATCAATCACGTCGAGGATGCATGATTTTCTCTTTGGTTAGGTGGCTTTAGCTTATTGATCTAACGTTCATATCCCGTTGGCAACTGAATGGTACACTATGTGCTAGAATTTTCATTTTCATAGTATAAAAAAAAGTTCAAAAATTAAACCTAGGGCGAGGCAAACGCAACACTTATTTTCTACCAAACCTAAGGTGGAATATATTCATCTCTTTTTAGTGGGACTATGTAGGAAAGGAAAAGGATTTGTGTTTCACCAACTCCACACCTTCAAGCCTTATCCAAATCTACATTAATTCTATATGGGATGGATGTAACCAATTCCAAATAAGAGATAGATAAAAGAGGAATCATTAATTTACTTTACTATTCTTTTCTTTAATGTCCCCACACCCATATAAAAAATATCTATAAATAATTGCTTTTACTTGATCTGCAAAATTCCTTTTCCCGATCCCAACTTGTTCTTTATTCCTTCCATCATCAACTTGCGTTATGCGTAGAGATATGAAAGTGTAACAAAGATAAAAAGATTATGCTTGGGGGCTGCGTTTGTTAATTCGTTTCATGTATATCTTCATGTCATGGTTCTTCACCTACCGTGTTAATTAAACCTATTTGCTTCTTCTCTACTTACCCGTGAAAGTTAGATCATGCATGTGTTGTGTGCTATGCTTTCTTCAACTAGCCCCACCATTTTACTTGGTTAGTTAAGTAACCTAAATAATTATAATATAAGGAAAATGATAATAAAAATGGTGGACTAATTAATCATTAATATCTTTAAAACGATATGATTTGCGTTTAGCTGAGAACGTTGTTTTAAAAAATTGCCGCCTAGTTTGAGTGACCAATTGAAGGGTTGTTCAAGCTTCTTTTAATACATGACGTATATAATAATAATTATTCTTTATCAAAGACGTACATAATAATTAATTAAATTAGTTGCTTTACTTTCCTTCACACACAGCTTCTTGAGGAACCGTATGTTGAATTACAATTTTTTTTCTTCTTTTTTTACACTATCTTACTTCATTGTGACTTTCAGCTAGGGGTAATCATATATAGATGCAAATATACCTGTGAAACTGACCAACTCATCTACTCCGGAAAAAAAAAAAACTAATTTAAATATTTGAGCTAGTTTTAGATTAAAAAAGCTATATAACCTAATCATAATGAGATCGGATATTAAATTATGCAATTCCAAACTTCTTATCGAACTCGATATCCAATTTAATCTTGTTCTTTTTTGAACTCAATCTATAACTTGTGCGATCCTACTTTAATTTCCGTGTATATATTTTTTGGACCAACTTATAGCGAAAAAAGAAAGAAGCTAAACAAAGAAATATATGATTAAATTAGGATATAGATCGAGGATTAAGTGTGAATGAAGCTAGTGCTTTGGTTATACGAAATACAACAGCTGCAAATGGAATGAACGAAGGCTTCAAAGAGACCAATCCAGATGGTAATATTATTAGAATGATAAGATCATAATCTGATTATAACATATTCTTCAAAGTTAATCAACCTATTATATTATTCGGCAGCCAGGATAAAAAGTCAACTGAAATTCGACAATAATTCAGCCGGAAAAAGACTGTTATATTTTTGAAAAATTAACATCCTTAGATTAACAGGTTAAGATCGACAGAACAAACAAACGTCTAAAAAAATTTAAATTAACAAGCTAATATATTAGATGATAACGTCAGTAATATATATTGTAAGAAGTTAAAAGTTATAAATGTGTTCCTTTCAAAATAGTTACGTATAATATTGTAAAATGTGATAAGCAAACTCAACGTCTAAAAAATATGTCAACAAATAAAAAATTATAGACCCGTAATATAATTATTAAAAGCACAAGCTTGAATATTATAGCCGTCCCTATATATATATATATATATATATATAAGTATTTCTTGGTAAATACCCTTGAAAGACACAGAATAATCATGAAAACACAGTCATTCAAGAGGCAGCAGATACACCAGCTAGCACAAGACGAGTGAAGAAAACAACGTTTCTTGACCAGAGACACCAATAATTTAAGGGAAATATCAAGTAATTATATGTGTTTTCTGGTGAGAATATCAACAGTAATTTTTTTATCATAAAATATTTGTTATTTTATTATTTGTTTATGTATATAAAGATGCTATATATTTTCACTATATTTTGTTTAATGAATAGGATGTTTATACTTTACGGTAGTGATGATCAAAATTGTAGAAAAATAATAATCTTCAAAAAAAATTGTATAATAGTCACTTAAATTCAATCACAAAATATTATATATACTATCTCAATTCCATGATTAGGTCAATTATAGTAGTTTAATTAAGAAAATAATATAATTTATGCATTCTTAATTTCTTAATGTTTAAAATAAAACACCTACTAAAATCATATAATAATGACTAAATTCACATTTTAATTTCAAACAATTTACTCAAAAGACTATTCGACTTAGCACAAACTTAATACATAAACTTAAATTAGTGTTAATTACTGATTAACCTAAATATTGATGCTAAATAGCGTCGATCAACCAACACTTAAGTATTGCTGAAATCCTTTTGTTGTCAAAATTTTAATATATTTTTAATTTGTCTCAATTACGACCGACAATACTAATGTTTAAAAAAATTTGTCATCATTGATCTAATTAATATTAATTAATAATTTTTTTAAAAAATATATTATAATATCAAGAGTCAAGTCCACTTTGTGTTAAGGTATTATATTATATTATAGGTTATACAGTTTTCAATTATATTATAACTAACAATCTTATTTTGGGTATCATTTAAAAACATGATTGGTTATATTTTAATTGTGGACATTTTAAAATTAATAATTTAAATAAAATAATGTAAAATGGGAGATAAATGTGTTAAAAAGATATTTGATTATATATATATATATATATATCCGTGATAATATCACTTTCTCACCCACATCTCATGGGAATAAAAGTGTAGGAAAACAAGGTAAAAACAAAAAAGTTGCATTGTTAGCATCCATAATTTTTTTTTTGTTAATTACTAGTATTTTTGTATCACTTTAAAACATATTTTTTGTTGAAAAAATGCATATCTTTATAGAAGAAGAAAAAAACTAAACTCTACTGTTATATTTGATCCATATTAAAACAACTTTTGATCCATAATGAAGTAGGGAGTTGCATACTTTTTTTCTATTCCTTTGTATAAATTTTTTTATATAGATTATAAATAAAATAAAATTCAAATATTTTTTAAGATCAATTCAAAATTTTGTTTTACAAATAAGGTAATTAATGTAAAAACAAAAAACAATTAGTTTCAATTTCCATTCTTTTTAGAATTTTACAATAAATGTAAACTTTTTAAGAATTTGTTAAATATATGATCTAAATTGGTTTAAATACCTTATTTTTATTTTTATAATTATGAAACTTACCTTTTAGTCTTATAATTAAAAATAAAAAATATTCCATTTTAGTATAAATACATATTTTTTTCTTGGTGAAAAAAACCAGGAATCTATATTTTTGTTTTCTTTCAATACTTATAATTTATTAAAATTTACCTTTCTCTTCCTATATAGTAAACAGATGACAAATTTTTTTTTTTTTTATAAAAAAACTAAAGGATAAATTTTATGAAACTATATAATGAATATTTAAAGTATTTAATTTTTTATATTAATTATGCTATTAGTACAAATACAAAATTAGGTTTAGACTAATCCATTAAAAAATGACTTAGTCACTCCTATCCTATTCATGACTTTTTCATCAATAGTATTCGAATTTAAGAGTTGCTTAACGAGACTAATAATCAGTACATACATGTCTAATAAAAAGAAAATAAATTTAATAAAATATATTTGTAATTTAATTAATTTACCCGAAAAGAATCCGTAAATTTTGTTGAACATCTCTAGGAAAGTAATAGAAAAGCAGAATGTACAAGGCAAGGTGGTGGAGTGGAGGAAGCTGTGAGTGTGAGTTTTGTAGTCCCTTTGACCATTCGTTCCCATAACGTTCCACCCAACTTCCATTTGTCACACACAAACACAAACACAATCCCAAACGAAACTTTATTGCACTTGCAGGGTTGAGTACCCGATACCCATTAATATTATTGCCCCTCCCTTACGTGTACCCTCCTTAATTTCTTATTAATGTCAGGAATCTGATGTGTTGCCAAATAGTAAAATAGTCCACTCTATTATCATTAATTACAGAATTTTAAAAATTACAAACCGACGCTTGTGATACGTGGTGGGTCCCACCAGCTTTTCCCCTTCCCCAAACTCAAATATAAACCCCCTCCATCCCCATTTCCCATTTGTTTTGCCAGTTACATACTCCTCCCACTACCCCGTAACCACCATCCACAACATACCTCAACCTCAACGCTTGAATGCCAACAACATCCCAATTCACTGCACAAATATGAGAAGGCCATGGAAACAATATTATAGCAAAAAACATGACTTGTTCGAGTATCTCCCGGACGATCTTGTTGTCTTCATTCTCTCTAAACTCAGCTCCACCGCTCCTTCTCCTTCTGATTTCATCAACATCATCTTAACGTAAGCTCACCTTCACCTTAACTTTTTTTTTTTTTTTTTTTTAATTAAAATCCCATGTCCCAAGTTTCATTCATGTTAATGTTGTAACTTATGACATACAAATGTTCCTTAAAAAAAACAAAACCACAGATGCAAGAGACTAAACCGGTTAGGCCTACACCGTCTTGTGTTATCAAAAGCGGGGCCTAAAGTATTCGCCATAAAGCCCAAAAATTGGTCAGAGCATGCTCACTGTTTTCTCAAACACTGTGTCAACGCCGGCAACGTGGATGCGTGTTACACTCTCGGAATGGTTAGTCACCACTGCATGTACATGTACATGTAATTAATAGAAGAGAATTAAAATTAAGTTAAGTTAAAAAGATTGAATTTTTAATTCGCTGCGCAGATCCGATTTTACTGTCTGCAAAACCGAGGGAGCGGGCTCTCGTTAATGGCGAAGGCGGCGATGAAGTCTCACGCGGCGGCGCTGTACTCGCTGGCGGTAATTCAGTTCAACGGGAGCGGCGGTTCGAAGCGGAGCAAGGATCTAAGCGCCGGCGTGGCCCTATCGATGCGCGCGTCGCTGCTGGGCCACATCGACGCCCTGCGCGAGCTGGGGCACTGTCTCCAAGACGGTTACGGCGTGCGGCAGAACGTGGCGCAGGGACGGCGTCTTTTAGTGGAGGCTAACGTGCGCGAGCTGGCGTGCGTGCTACGCGCGGTGGCCCCCTCGCGCTACTTGTCGGTGACGTGGCAGGGCCCGTTGCTGAGCGAGTACGGGTGCAGCATCGCGGTGCCGGAGATTCAGGCGGTGAATTTGTTTCTGAGGGAATGGTTCGAGTCCGGTTTTGGGAAGTTGGGGGAGGGTTTGAGGCTGTGCGCGCACATTGGCTGCGGAAGGCCCGAGACCCGCCCCCACGAGTTCCGAAGGTGTTCCGTTTGTGGCAAAGTTAATTATTGCTCCCGAGGTTGTCAAGCTTTGGATTGGAAGTTACGACATAAATTGGAGTGTTCCGCCACCGAACTTTACGAAAATAACAACTTTCTGCTCCAAAACGCTCCCGTTTGACTTTCCTCTTTCAACATCTTTTTCTTTTTTCTTTTTTCTTTTTTCTTTTTTCTTTTTTCTTTTTTCCTCTTGCAATTGCTTTTTTAGTTGTCAAATTAGGTTGTATAGACATAGGATTATGAAGATGCAAGCAATATTTTGGTAGTATCATTAATTACGATTTGAAAGAGTATTGGAGAAAGGGATGGGAAAAGGAAAATAGATGAATGAATAAATAAATATTTTATAATATTGTGGGGAGGGAAAAATATTGAAAAGGAATGACATAAAGTTGAAAATCCAAAAGCACATTGGCGCTTGTGACTCGGTTTTGTTCAGTATCTATTTAGTGGAGAGTGAGTACATCCATTAACTATTTTTGGTTCAAGTTGCGCTATCAAAAGAAAATCTAGACCCAGTTCCCCACGAATTAAGCTATAAGTTATTCATCTTCTCACTCCATTTGTCCTCTTAAAATCTTCTTAAATAGTTTGCTTTATCAAAAGGATTCAGTTACACGTAAGTGTCACAACTATGAAGTCTTAAATAAATTCAGATATTCATTTCTTTATGATACAATAATTCACATTCATTTGTTTTAAATAATTATAAGATCGGTACAATTCGTCAAAAACGATTATAAATGTTAATATAACACTTAATCAGAATAAAAATATTCAACTTTTAAATTAGTTACTATGAAAACCAACATTCATAATTTCTTTTGTAAACCATAATAATATCCGATTCATAATAACCTTAATATATTAAACGGTAAAACACGTGAAGACCGCGTAAAGATTAATACTAAATATAAGCAGATTTTGCTTCCGCTATCTTTATAAGGTGGTCACATTTGTTACATCTTTTTTGACAGAGAATCGATTCTTTTAAAAGCTGTTCACGTGTTTGTTTTACTTCTTTAAACAATCAGAAACCAAAGAAAATATAAAATTTTACTAATATTGAATATTTTTATGAATTGTTTGCCGTAAAATCAGTTGTTTCTTTTTAAAAAGAGTTTTCTATAATTATAAACAAATATAAATTAACTTCTAATCTTTAAAAAAAAAAAATCAAATTATTAATCAAATTAAAATATTTTCTAGTAGTTAATTTACATCTTCAATAATATTTATTGATGTATGAGTTTTTTTTTATTCATCAAAATTATCATAACACACTAAAATTTGAATGCATATTTTATTTCAACTCTTATAATTGAGTCTATTGGTTGGATATATGTGAGTTAAAAATGAAGGTGTTGTTTTAGAAAGAAAAAAAAAATGGAGGTGTTATATCATGTCATGCACGTGGATGAGCAGTGAAGTGGCGTGAGGTATGGCACTTTTGGAAAACGGGCTTTGGACAAACATGGGTTGGTTGAAAATGAAAAGCCCAGTGCAGGTTCCATGTTGTTTACGTTATCGTTCTTGTCGCGACACAACACAAGACCCTTTCGTATTCAAACTGTGATTCATCACCATTTGACTGATACTGCTAATGCACAACGTCCACATCATGCCTCACCCTTTTAACCCTATTTCAATTATTGAACCCATCTAACAGTTATATCTAAATTATTCAACACTGTTTAATTATATCATTCTTTGGCATCACACTCCTAGTATAAAGATATCAAAAGTTTGGAGTCTTAAAACCATACTTTTAAAAACTGGATCGGTAATGGAACCGGTTAAGGTACTGGGTCAGTGGGTTAAAGGTTGAACCGGTGGGTCATTAGTTGAATCGCATGACTCGATTTTTATTTATTTTTATTAAAAAAATATTCATATTAAATATATTTTATACTTATAAATTTTAATAAATTCATATCTTATTTTAAATTTAAATTTTTTTATCTTATTTAAAATTATTTTTATTTTTATTTTGTAAAAAAATACATAAAAAAATTACATGTTAAACGGTATATTAATACAAATTAAAAATATAAATAATATGTACATATATAATATGCTTGCAATTAATATCACAAAATAATATATGTAATATTTACATAAATATTATATTATTAAATATATAATTTAAAATTAATAATATACTATAAAAGTTATTTAAGTTGTATATATTGCAAACAAATATATTAGAACAAGTAGTCATTGTTATATTTAATAAGACTCCTTGCTTTTCCATTAAGAGATTCAATTTTCATTATTATTTTTTGTGGTTTATGGTCCCTTAAAAAAAATTATAAAAAAAAATGATTGAACCAGTTTGACCCACTGGTTCACCGGTTGAACCGGAAAATTGACCGGTTCAATCCGGTTTGAAACGGGTCGACTACATAACCGATCCAACTTAAGATTCGGACCGGATGGACCACCGGTTCCCGATCTAACCGGTCCGACCCGCTGATTCGGTTCGGTTTTTGAATCACTGCTTAAAACCATCTTAATTTGGACTTGTGTTATACTAATATTACAAAAGGTGCTGTGTGGGCAAGGATAACCATGATAGAAAATATTCTAGTATATGATAGGGTAACCATGGTTACACTTAATGCCCAAGTTATATGTATACTTGCACATATTTATCCAATTATATAAAATTATTAAATTTAGAGTCTAATCATGTGAATGAGTAAAGAAAAGTAGATAGACCCATTCAAATAACTATATATAAAAATAATATTTTTTTCTCTTTAATTTTATGATTAAGTAAAGAAATCATATAATTTTGATGTGGGATAACTTGTCCATTCTAGTTTATTGGAAACCAACTTGAATGGATTTGACTTGAAATGATACCATAATAAACAGTACATGTAAAATAAATCGTATTGTGATAATCACTAATTTTCATGTTTCAATTAGGACAAAACTCAACTACGGCTTTTCTTTTTAAATACGGTTGATTCTGAAGTTTTAATGTAATATAATATTTCTGAATGAATATAATATAACATTTTAATGTAATATGATATTTATAGGCACATATAATATAATATTTTAATGTAATATAATATTTTTAGGTGAATATGCATATCAAGTTATTGATTAAGTTGAGTACATCAAAATATATATATATAGCGTGTATGTGACTAAGAAGATATTCACTTACACTAAAAATAAATTTTAGTATATATATTTACTTTATTTAATAATTAATATTTTACATTAAGTTTTAATAATTTAATCGATAAATTAAAAAAATTTAATACATAAATCAAATTTATAAAATTTTAAAAATTTTAGAAATTATTTAATATTTTGTTTCATTCATTTAAATCAACGTATAAAATACTTTTATAATTATCGATCAATTTGAATTAATAAAATGAAGTATCCAATAATTTTTAAATTTTTTAAAACTTTACAGACTTGATTTATAAATAAATTTTTTTTAATTTAATAATTAAATCGTTTTTGATATAAAACATAAATTATTGAATAAAATAAATATAAATAAATTTATTTTTAAAATAAGTAAATTCTTCATATTGCTCTTTCTATATATATATATATATTATTCTTTAATGTGCATATAATATAACCATTTTAAATTTGACTTTTTATTAAAAATTCAATCATCTTAAATTATACTATAATTTCCAACGATATCATAATTCTTAAAATGTCAGTATAATAACAAATATGTAATATATGTAAAGCAAATGTAGAAAAAAAATTAATATATAAAAAAAATGAAATTCACTAACTTGAATCTTATCCATGAAAATAAGAGAAATGCTAACAATATTTTTTTTAATCAAAGGTATCTTTTAATTAAAAGTTAAGAAATAATTTCTTTTAAAAAAGTGATCTCTCGATAAATATTTTTTATTTAAATATAACTTTATTCCCATAATTTATGATTTTTTAATTTTTGATCACTATATTTTTTTTTGTTGTTTTATCCTAACTTTTTCTAACATTTAAAAATAACATTTATCGTTAATTACTATTAAAAAATATATTACGTGGAAAAAAATACATATTATACTTAATATATTTTACTTCACTATTACTACATAGGTAAATTGATTTTAATTTTTTTAAAATAAAATTGTAAAATGTACTTCACTAGACCTTAACCTTCACCCTTGTTATCGCAGTTCCCTTCTCTAATCCTAAATTTGACACTACAAACCTTGAACCTCCCAATCCCATTGGTGAGGAGCAACTTCTCACAACCCAATATCTCAACAAAGACATCAAGTTTGTACTCAACGATCACTGTCTCTACGAGGTTACCACCTCACCATGAAGGAGTTTGACCTCATACTCGACTACTTGTTGGAATTTAAGTGTGAAGTGACTCCCACTGTCCCACATCAGTTAGAGTTTGGCATGTTGAGTAGTATATAAATAAGAAGGACCTACCTACCTAATGCCTTAAGATTTTAGGTTATGAAGTGGTGTCAAGCTTACTTGTGTAACTTACTTACTACCTATGGATGGAGTGCTCTCCAATGTAAAAACTCCTCAATAGTGGTATTAGAGTTGATAATTTGACCAAGTGTGGTGATTAACTCAAATGAGTATTGAGTAATGAAATTGGTTGTAGAGGTCAAGAGTAAATTTGCGTTCGCTTGAGAGGGAGCATGGCTATGTAAAAGAGACTCACACTTGAGGGTGAATGTTGGGGTTTAAGTGTGAAGTGAGTCCCCAATTGATGAAACTAGGTTGAAGTAGAATGATGCACTTCTTCAAATAGCTCCATTAGCTCTCAAATATTCTTCCATGGATTCCTTAAGCTTCAAGACCGAAAATGATGGAGAAGGAAGAAGTGATGGTGCACCACTTCCAATGGTGGAAAATAAGAAAGAGAGGAGGTTCTTACCGCAAGGAGGATTCCTTGATAAAAGAACTTAAGGAGATATTTCTCCTTCAAAGAGAACTAAAACTTTTGGTAGAGAGAAAAATGCAAGAATGCTTCTCATAAATCTCAAAAGTGCCAAGTTATACAAAAAAGACATCTATATATTAGAGTTAGTAATTTGTTATGTGCAAACTAAGCTAACTTAGGTTAAGATAAACCTAGTTAGGTTAACTTGAACTCAAACTACTAACCCTAAACTAACCTAGCTAGGGTTCCACCAAACAAGCTCTAAGTGTCACTTTCTTAGATCTAAAATGGCCAATGAAAACTTGTCATAAAAACAAGCAAGGAAAATGTAACTTATGTCACCATCCTAGGTCTAGAAAAGCCATTAGGGCA